TCTGAATAAAATTTTCAAATTTTGCATACACAGAATTGTTATATTTTTTATAGCATAACAAGATTACGACAAATAGCCATTGTAATTCTAGAACCCTTTGTGCCCTTGTGTGACAGAAACACTGTTGAGTCATCTCAGGAGCTCATATACAAAGCAGAATTTGTTAGGCCAGACGTTTTTTATTCCTTGTTTCTCAAGTTTTTATAAGGCAATTTTTTTGAGGGCGGGGAAAAAAATAAAATTAATTCATTTTTTCCACTAGATTTGTGTGATTCTCAAAGAATTGTAAGTGAGATCATTGATCAGAGAAGAAATGAAATAAAATTTTATTCCATGTATAACCTCGTTTCTCATCTGAGCGAGACTTCAGTACTTTGATCACGATACTCCTACGAAAATGCAACTTGGATTTGTTATGCGGCGGGCGGTAAAAAAATGAAGATAAAAATAATATTATACTGAAATACAATTTTATTTTTATTTTATTTTCGGCTACTGTTCATTTGGCGGGTTCGCGAAACAAGGGATAATAAAAGTCTGGCCTTAGGTAAAAAAAACAAACATGTAAACAAACATGCTGCTCTCTGATTGGTCGACTGTGAGGCGTTATGGTTGGGTAGCCAATCAGGTACTATCTTGTTTAGCTTGAACACTGACTCTAGAAATGTACAATATAAAACACTGAACAAAACCATTGTAATTGTTCAATTTTATTTACATAGAAAATACTCACAAAACTGGGAAAACTTTTTTTTTTTAAAAATTGTAACATAGGTGTGTACATAAGTTGGATTTCAATTCAACACATTTTATTTCAATTCCTTATTCAATATTATGATGGGTCATACCATTTTGTGAGATATGTGGGGAAGGAGAACGAGAAAGAGGGGGAACTTGATTTATTTATGAAGAAAACCACAAAAGTTTATGAAAAGGAAAGACATTCGCAAAATATTTTGTTTGTGACCACGAGAAATCGCCAAACTGTAAACATTTCTCGCAGTGAAAATTAAATAGTTTGTTACAGTGAAAACCATCAAGATTGTCGTCATTGAGATTACTTAGTACACGCAAGATTAGAACTGATTCTACTTTGTTTCAAAGTAATGTTGATTACCTGCAGCCTTTAGTCTACACCTGTTTACTGTATTTCTATACGTAAATTCATCGCGATGATACTGTAAAATGCGTCTTTTTTGTGAGCATGTCTTTTTCGCGAATTTAGCGAGAAAACTAAATCGCTAATTTAAGATGTCGCTAATGACTTCATTATAAATTCAAAATGGCCGCCAAACAATGTCTTTCTCCACACACACACACTTTGTAAACACAGAAAACGCAATAATCTGGAGTGCTTCCTTATTACACTTGACAGTTTTTCTTAGTTTTTATGGAGGTGATAACTGAGCATTTGTTTTGGCAGGCGACAGACAAGTATTGTGAAAACAGGAAATCAACAATGACAAGAGAGTTTCGCTACATCAACATTTCGCTATTACGTCATTTTACCACAATTCGCTAAAATAGTATGTCGCTTTTTCAACATGTTTTACAGTAGTCTAAGGGTAATCAACAGTATTTTGAAACAGAGTTGATGGTAATTGCATGCGCCAGAATACATATTTTTTGTAATGATGTTATATGTCACCTGATCACCCTAGTGTATTGATATGAAAAAAAAGTTGTGTCGTTGGTGTAACTGAAAATGGTGGAATAAACAAGAAGTTAAACTAGAAAGTTCTCTGGTTACTTGAATCAAAACATCACAATCTCAATGATGATGGTTTTCACTGTCAATGGAGATGATCAAGGGGTTTGCATTTTATGCGAGACCCACAACGACTTACACAAGTAAAATACATTGTGAGCACAACACACTTGTTCCTGGTGACAACCACCCTATTACGGAAAACCTAAATATTTCTATGTTCAAACAGAAACGCAAGAACATTTCGCCATCGACATTAATACCTTTTTAGCTCCCTTCTTTATCACTCACAAATGTTTTTTTTTTTTTTTTTACCTGACAAA